GTCACAAATGCAGACCTTTGGCCCCTTCTTCAAGGGAGATTGAAGTTTCCATAGATTCCTGTCCAGGCCTTCCTGATGCCTCATCTCCCAAAGCTGGTTGACTGGCTTGCTCATTCAGTTGATGTTGGCTGAGTACCCAGTGTGCTCCAGGTTTGGTTCTGGATGCTGGGAGAAGGATAGGACACACCCAGAGTACCAGCAGTCTCCATAACAGCCAGTTCAAGTCTGCATCAGTACTGCAAATACTCTGCAGGTTTGTAAGAGTTTTCTAGAAACACTTTCAACTAGAGGAACGGGTAGAGGCCTCAGACACAGACAGACCCTGGATAAGACACAGAGGCATCTTCTCTGTCTCAGTGTGGGAATAGCGTGGCCTGCCAATTTGGGATGAAAACACCCCCTTGCATGAGTTTCCATGCCTTCCTAGTCTCAGGCACAGCTGGCTGATGGCATCGTAGTAGATACTATGGTAGACAGACTAGCAGTGCACATGGGTTGATTAGTGTCTTCCCTGACATGAATGAATAAAGAGGGATGATGCTATGGATTGAACATGAAATATCCTCCATGGGCTTGTGTGTTTGAATACATGGTCTTCAGCTGGTGGCACAACTTTGCAGGTTGTGGAACCTTTGGGACACAAGGCCACTGAGGACAGGCCTTGAGGGTTGTAGCCTGGCCTTGCTTCTGGTCCTTTCTGCTTCCTGATCCACCAAGATGTGTGGCACTGCAGCCTCAACCTGCAGACAAGGCCACTCTGGCTGCTGTGTACACTATGATGAATTGTATACTCTAAAACCAGGAGCTAAAACAAACCTTTCCCCCTCTCAAGTGCCTTCAATCAGATATGTGGTCATAGCCATGAGAAAGTCAATAATACAGACGAGAAGAGGCTGGGGAGATGGCAATCAGTAAAGTGCTGGCTGGACAAGCTGGAGGGCCTGAGTTCAATCCCCAGAACCCACATTAGAAAAGAAAAGCCAGGTGTGGTAGTGTGTTTGTAAGGGAGGTGGAGACAGGTGGATCTTTGGGGCTCACTGGTCAGCTAGCCTTGACTAATCAGTCACTTCCAGGCCAATGAGAGATCCTGCCTCAAAAAACAAGGTTAACAGTACCTGAGGTTAACCTCTGACCCCCACACTTACATGCACACACATGAAAGTGTCCCTGAATGCACATATGTATCCCATCTTCTCTCTCTCTCTCTCTCTCTCTCTCTCTCTCTCTCTCTCTCTCTCTCTCTCTCTGTCTCTGTCTCTCTCACACACACACACACACACAGGGAATAGAAATAGTATCAGTAGCAATTTTAAGACTATGACAGCTGAAAGACAAAGACAACATTTGGGTAGTTTGAACTCTACTGGGAAATTGCTTCTGATGTCCACACACATGCTCCCTCCAAGGCCCCCCAGGGTCCAGATGTGAACTGAGGATGTGGTGGGATCATAGACCATATGTGGCCCCAGGAGAACTGAGAGATGAAGGTCTTAGTGGCAAGTGAAAGGATGGGAAGCAATCTCTCCCATGTTGCCGTGTGTTCTCCATTCTCCCAAGGGAGAGCTCTGTAGACTGCACCTCCACCTGCCCCTCCAGAGGACCTGTCACCTCCAGAAACTCTGGTGGCTTCTTAACTTACAACTTTTGCTGTGGTGGCCCAAAGGGAGCCCAGGAAGGTCTTGTTTAGAATCTGTGAAGAGAAACAGGGAGCCAGATGGGCATACATGCCAGGTAAGGTAGTCAGAGCTGGAACAGGGCTGGAACAGGGCTGGGGCGTAGTCCTGGACAAGATGCAAGTGCCTGCATTTGCTTTGGTGGTCCCCCCAGGGACTGTGTACACTCTGCTAACTGGATAAATGTAGTGCTGACACCCAAGGAGGTACCCACTGCTGTCTGTGCAAGAGAGAAAGAGGCTGATCTTGTGGTCAGGGGCTATAGGAGATGTTGTAGTCCTGACCTATTTCCCCTTCTTTCTGGAATGTTCCTGGTTACAGTTGAGACAAGTACCCATGTAACCAGGACCCCCGTGTGTCCAGGCCCACGTCATCCACAACTACACAAACACCCTGATTTTGTGTGACCTTGACAATCCTGAACTGAGGTAGAACCTACAGGATCTGCAGAAATGTACCCAATGCATTCCTCAACACCACATTGGCTGACTGTAGGACAGAGGACCATTCCTGACACTCTGTGACTCAGCCCCCATCTCTATCAATGCCTGGCTGAGCCTCTGGCCTATTGGGGAGCACCAGTACACTAGACAGACCACATCCTAGAGGACCTGTGGGGCTCGGGAGCATCCTAGGCCAAGGTGTGGTTTTATCTAGGAAACTACCCCAGGCCTTGAGTTGTGTTTCCCTGGGGCATAGAAGGATCTGCTGGAGAGAGAAGCAGGCATAACTCTGGGTAGAATAAAAGTGAACATTTAATGCCACCATTGTTTGATTCTCTTAAACATCAGATTCTTTTTTTTTTTTTGACAACATTTTACACCTCATATGCCACAAAGTCAGAGCTCATAGCCAGCAAACAATGTCTTCACACCAGGAAACATCACACAGCTTAATGGGTTCATGTCACCAGTTGGTGAGAACTATAGTACTCTTTTCTGGACTTTTCTCCAGGTAACCTGTTCATATTTACCATGATCAAGTCAACAGGTAACTTTTATATAGTTATGTAAAAGCCATTCACAAAACCCAGCCAGCAAACAGGCTGTTGGGGCCTGCCCAAGGCAGAATAGTTAAATTTTGGGGGGGCCTGAACAAACGATTTGTATTTAAAAAATTAACAGCAAACACTCATGAGCTAAGAACTTAAATTTTAAAACAGCACCAATCCTCTATCCATTTAAACAATGAATTTGAAACAATGACAGTAATATTACCATTGACTTTAAAACGAGGTTTTTATGGAATTGTGGATTTGCTGACTCTGATACAATCAATGCTCTTGGGCAGGCCTTGTCTCCAATTTTCCAATGGGCCCATTTCTACAGATAAGCATATTTATATATACATACATACATCACACGTCATGGAATCATATAGCCAGAGCTGGAAGGAATCACAAAGATCATGTACCACAATGTCTTCATTTTACAGCTTAGAAAACCAAATTCCAGAGGAGTTGGTCCTGTGTCCAAGGCCACAGACCACTGTTGAAAACAGCCATCAGGACTCAGGGTTTCTGTCCTGTGTGCTTCTTGTATGTCACATGCCCTGTGCATACACCGACCCACATACGCACGTGCACACACACACACACACACACACACATACACACACACACTGGTACAGAGCAGTGTGTGTGTGTGTGTGTGTGTGTGTGTGTGTGTGTGGTCACGTACACATTCTTGGTACAAGGTGATCTCATGGGAAGAGTTCATGTGGCTGGGCTCATGTCTTAGTTTGATTGTAAGACTCCTCTGTGAACCGGGCTAACTGGTGACTATTGACATCAGTTTCTTCATCTATATAGGATTTTTCCCAGCTCTGGAGAGAGCTTTTAATGTCTTCAAAGTGTATCCCACCATTCTTTTCTTTGTCCCAGGAGGGCAGCTACTATGGACCTCCCTGACCTTCCACTGAGGGTCCTGAGGCCCAGCAAAATGCTACATTCCACCCAAAGTTCAAAGGGATGTCACCAGCCATGGCCCCGGCTCTCTGCCCCCTAACTCCAGGCTTTTCCTCCTATTCTACCTGCCTCTCTAATGAGACTACTGTCCCAAGCTCCTCCCTACCTCTCAGGGATCCAGTGAGGGGACACAGGCCATAAGTGTTATGGGTTATAAGACTCACTAAAGTGCTTTGATTTCTCCAGAATAGACAGCTACAACATCTACCCAATGTGAGGACCTCCCGGGGATCTCGAGGACCAGTAGAAAGAATTTAATATTGTGTCAGCACTTTCCTCAGGGGCACAACAGAGATCCAGTAGGAAGAGGCTGGATCCCCTTCTGCTCAGGCTGTGGAAGCTGATTCCCAAGCCCGTTATGATGTAGACTTGAAAGGAAGAGCCTTGTCTCATCCCCCATGGCTACCTACTACAGAGCTAAGACTGGAGGAGAATCTCTGAACTTGGAGGATGTGATCCTCATCCCTGTCCTCCTCATTCATCCCCCCTCCCCCACCTGTGTCTCTGCTAACTCACTTTGCTGGAGTGAGAAAAACAGAAGAAAAGACAACCACAGACTGACCAAACAGCACATGGTGGGCCTTCCTGACCATGATACACAAATCCAGAAACACCAGCAATGCTACAGGACAATATTCTGAGGTCACAAATCAGTGATGACTTCTCCATAAATCGAGTATGGCAGTGTAGGAGAACAGGAACATCATGGCATGTGGTGAGTAGAGACACAAGAGTCAGTGGGGAGGTCTCTGCACACATCAAACAGATACATGAGCATTAGGATTGGAGAGGTCACCTCCACACACGTAACACTGGGAACTACTATATGTGGGCGTATTCATCAGGTGTGAAGTCTTAGCTCCACCCATAGTGCCATTGCCTGTCTAATACTGTGACATCACCTCAGGCTCTGCATCGGGTCACCCAAAAGTAGAATGTATGTGTTTAGGGATGGACCACTTAGCTCTTAGGAATTAAAAAGAACATTTTTTGAGATGATAGACTAAAATTTTAAGAGCATCTCTTGGACTGGAATTCTGCTTTTATTATTGTGGCAATAACGGAGTTTGTCACATAGAAACATGTTCTTTATGACACGTCAGAAAGATTGCTAAGGGACACATTTTTTAAAAATGTTTTACTATTTTTATTTTATCTGTATGAGGGTATTGCCAGCATGCATGCAAGTGCACCCATGTCGTGCAATGCCCACGGAGGTCAGAAGAGGGCGTTAGGTTCCCTGGAACTGGAGTTACGGATCTTTGTTAGCTACCATGTGGGTTCTCTGCAAGAACAGCCAGTGCTCTTTAACTGTTGAGCCATCTCTCCAGCCCTAGGGCCATGGTTTTTTTTTTTTACACAAAATAGTTACAGATACTTTCTGGAGGAGAAATGCACTATAGTGCAAAGGAATGCTACATTTCTAACACTTGCCAAAAAAAATTAGACATTTACGGAACCTGTCTGTGAAACTGATCCCTAGGCTGTTTAGCCTGGCACAGAGGAGAGTGGTCTGTGCCGGCCTTTTCCCTCTGCAGGGCTGTCTTGGTTGGGTTAGCAGAGAGGATGTTCCTTGTAATGTGGAAAGCTGGACCACACGGCCAGGCAGTGGCAGGGAGGCTCCAGAGACAATGGCTGTGGACTGCTTAGTCAGCAGCCTCAACTGACAGCACACAGCACGTTCAACCTGTCTTAGACAGCCCAGGCTTCCGGGTTTAAGACAAACTACCCTAAAAGGGAGGAAATGTTTTTGCATCTGTCCCAGCAGGAAAGAGCAACATTCAGGAAATCTGTTTTCAATTTTCAAAGGAACTCATTGTTAGTAATTTCTTTCACAGACTAGAATTCTTGTTACAATAAGGAATCTTAAAACATTTGCTCCAGGCTCAGTTACAGATGGGCTGTAGCCAGCAACAGGACAGGACCAGTGTTTGCACTGAGCAAATTGGCTCTTGCTAGCTTTACCTTCTACATTGTGACGTCAAGGACAGACGGCTGGTTTGAAATATAAACCTTGTTGAGGAAGGCTTATGAATGAACTAAATTAATGGGGAGCATGAGACTCTGAAGGCCAAGGAAGGAGGCTCGTTCCTAAGGATGTGAGAGCTACATCCATGTGGCAAAGGCTTTTTTTTGTTTAGCACCTGAATGGAAGTCTTTGCAGCACAAGCCTGCATGTGTCAGTCCTTTTGAACTATCACCTAAGTAGTCCTTCCTGGATAATGGATTCCAGGCTTAGGACTGGTTTGTGACAAACAGGGCAGTTCTCGCCTGCCAAGTGTATCCCCTTCCCACAAGCCTGGGGCTGCATGGTGTTCTCTTCTACTCGGGGGTCCTTGTTTGAATCCCACCACTGTCACCATGGGACCCACCTCTGCATTTGCATCATAGGCTCCCTGTGTTCAGAACAGCAATTGGAGTTGCAACCACAGCAAAGGGTGCCGATTCAATTTGCAGAGATGAAAGTAAGAGACAGCTTCCCAAGATGTCCAGGGGAGTTCAAGGACAAGATCAAAGGTTCCAGCTCTCAGATGGGGATCGAAAGCCAAGATAAAGCAAACGCAGACTCCTCAAAGCAGCAAGCCCTGTGGTGAGATGCACTAAGGGCTCCTTCCTGGAGGAACAGTGCCTCTGTTCTGGACCTTAGTTTTCCTCCACTGCCAATGCTTCTACCTCATGCTAAAATATTTGGAGCCTGGGGGAATGGGAGTGCATGGGGATGGACAGAATTTAAGTAAGATATATGCACCTAAATAGTAATTTCAAAAAAATGCTTTTGGTCTTGCTACGGCCAGATAATGAAATAGAAATGGGTTTTCTTTCACATTTCCTCTGCCCTCTTTTTTTTTTCTTTTTCTTTTTTTTTTTTTTTTTGTCCCCAAACACAAAACAGAACTGGAACCAGCTCACACTGGATTGGTCACCAGGTACTAGAACTGTTTCTTTTTGCCTCAAGAACATTCGTACAGGCAGGACTGGAATAGGTACATTAGAGCAAAGGGTACAGGAGGTCTCTGCAGGACTCATCAGTTAAGATAATAATGCAGCTTAGCAGATTAAGATGCTTTCAGTTTACTTAGGAGGGCACGGGGAGAATGGACAAGATATACACATCATTTCACATAGATGTCTTCCTGCACCAGGGTGCTCTGGATTCTCTGGGGTGTCCAGTGAAATGATATGGCCTCCTGAGAAGCCAGTCTGCTGGGCGGGAGAAAACTGAAGGTCAGTCTACCGGGGGAATCTACTGACTGAAGGTCAGTTCTCTACAGATGTGTCAGCTTTGCCTTGCTCCAGTAAAGGCACTGGGCTCTGTTGGTGACCTGCTAATGTCACTGGGGCCTGATGACCTCAGGGCTAAGGGAGAAGAGGCCAAAGCTATGCTCATGGAATACTAATCAAATGAATTTGCTCCTAAGAGGGGAAAACATTAGAAAACAATAGAAAGGCATCTTCACTTTTGAAAATTCCCCACTAAGGCATTTCGTGGAAAAAAATCATGAAAATATGTTTCAAAACAGATGCTCGAAGTGAAAAGATTGGTATCCTCGTAGGTCAGAAAGCTTCCAAGAGCACTGTTGTTAAGCAGGCCCATGCATACATGCGTTACAAGGCTGATGGGCCCTGAGCCCAGGACTCCCTACAGAATGATGCTGGGGAGGAATTCAGGAGGCCCTGCATCTCAGGAGACACACTTGTTAGATTTGTAGAACACACAGAGAAGAAACAGGCCATTGCAGAGCTCAGAGCATTCAACCAACAGTTTGGGACATCTTGGCCTAGGAGTTGACTCTTATAGAAGGTGCAAAGCTGGACTTGTGACCCATGGAGACGGCTTTGGGTCCACAGAGCGGACTTCTGAAGCAGGCAAGCTGATAGGCTATCTGTGCCTGTTCTGAGAAGAGGATCAGGTGCCATGACACTCATATGACCTCAGTTCCTGCTTGTGGAGCCCTGCTGGCCATATAGCCTGCTGTGCTGGGCTACATGTGTCCAGAGGGCTGATCAAGAAATGCAAAGATGCTCCTTGGGGAGAATCTAGGGCTCAGGAGTTGATTAGTTGACCAGGTCTGGATATGTCACAGGGAGGGTGAAGATATGGAGTCCTCTGTAGGAAACCCTGAGCACATGTGTGCACAGGCAGGCTGCAGAGGGCACCTGGTTCGTCTAAGGTGCTCAGATGCCCCAGTGGCTCCAGGCTGTGTTTAGGGAATCCTGGACCATTCTATGCCTCAGCTCTCTATCCCTAACCTGTGTCTAAAGATCTTGAAGGGAGTGGAGTAATTTGAGAATGGAGTCCTCAGTTCTCAGAAGCAAGACTTAAGTACCGTGTCCACTTAGCTATGCCTTGCCTCTTCTGGGACTTAGAGATGGGAAGCCTCTCTGTGCCTCTAGATACTAAGGCTGCAGGAACAAGCCTTATCCTGGGTACCGCAGAGGCTTTAGGACAGGGGAGAGCTGATTTCTTGCTCTTAGGTGGGACTCTGGGTGGTAGAAAGCTGTACAATCATAACGCCCCTTGTTGCTCTAAACCGTGCTGAATCTCTGAGCCTGTGTGAGCGTGTGAGGAGTTCTCAACATAGACAGCCCCCACCCTGCTTCAATATCTTCACAAAATGGAAACAAACACAACTCTGCTGGAATGGTTCAAGCATTCAATCTAGAGTCTTTGGACTAGAAATGAACATGAACTTGTTTTGAAAACCATGACATTTCTGGATGGATGGGGTGGGGGGAGGATACATGAAACAAATATCCCACTTACAAGGAGAAGGTGGGGCCCAGGTCACCCAGGACCCTTTCCTTTAAAGACATCTCTCCCAACTGATGAAACTTATGTTCACCGGCTTATGCAGGACTCCTGGGATGGTTGGCTGAACTGCTGTTTGTAGAAGGTGTCATCCCGTGTCACGTGCCCTTCCAAACCTCACTGGGAAACACACTGGCTTGTGCCCATGCAGGTCTCCACATTCTATTTGAGTGGCCTTACCAGAATAACCATGAAAGACACTTAACATTTATTCATCTGCAATACTGATTAGGAAACATCTCTACAAACACAACTTCCTTAGAAACAGCAAGTCAAAAACAAGATAAAACACCAAGAGAAAACAAGCCGTAAATACATTTCAAAAAATGTGTTGGGTTTTCTGTTTTGTTGGTTTTCTTTATGACTAGCACCATCTGTACACAAGAAAGTTTGAACATAAATGTTTAGATAATCATAAAGATTTGCAAGGCACTTAAACTGTCATTCTGGGTCATCTTGGTGTTTCGCTATCAACGGCAATTTCGCGTCGCCCTCCCCTTCCTCACAACCGCAAGGCAAGAGTCTCTCTGCTAGCAGTCCTTATGTACAGAGTTCTTTAAGGTACCTCAAAGTGCTTTCTCAGTCTCACGGGGCCTCCCATCATTTTCTCCTTCCACATGTTGGTGTATGCACCTCTCTTTCCTACAGAAAACAAAGGAAACATCGCCTTCCACTCCACGCTCACTCTAGACTTGCCACCGACCTTCATCCTCGTCCTAATGTCTCGAGTGTTGCCAGCACAGAGGGTCTGGGAGGGCAGTGTCCTGCTGAAGTCCTTAGGAGTGAGGGACTGACAGCTCAGGGGCCCTCATTCCTTATCGGCGCCTGGAGGTGATGTCAAAGCAGGTGATCATCATGAGATGGGCCTTGCAGAAGTTGACACGGCTCTCTAGACGCTCTGTCACGCCCTCCAGTGCCTCCAGGTACTCCAGGGAATCCAGCTCCAGGACCTGTTCCAAGTCAACTGAAAGAGAGAGGAGTCCATGGAGACCTGAGAGCCATTCACCAGAAGAGCTGCAACCCCCATCTCTACAGGTCTAAATTCACCTGTGCTGGGCAACCCTAACATTCCCTCCTGCCTGGTCCTTGGCCTTTTTGAGGAGAAGGGAACACTGATCATGATTTCTAGATCATTAACATTTGGAGACAATTCTGAGGAACATGGTCATGGTCTAGCACAGTCCTGTCCCTTCTTCTAGCCACAGCCACCATCACAGATTTGTAAGGCTTCCATTTCACCAGTTGTTAACCAAGGCAAGCAGCTCTTCAAGCTAGGGAAGGGAGACTCCTTCCTTTGTGGTGGTGGTCTCACTTGTGTGACATACAGATACCACCTCTCTAGAGGAAGTAGGCTCCTCTTTCTGAGCTACATGTAGCTGCCCTCAGGCTGGGACTCCTGACCCTGCCTCAATTTTTGCTTGGTTGGTTTTGATTTTTTGACACAGGCTCTGGTGTATCTTAGGCTGGCCTCTAACTCTCTATGTAGCTGAAGCTAACCTTAATCCCCTGGCCCTCCTGACTCCCTCTTGAGTGCTGGGGTGAAAGGCATGAGCCATCACCTGACCCTGTTTCATGTAGTCTCACATACCCATTGGTTATTGGGGGAAAATTGATGGTATATAAATAAAACCCGTATTAACAATTAAACTCAAAAGATAAGTTGAGTCAAACGGCCAGGACATCTTGCATTGGGTTGAGGCCTATACACCGCCAAAGGTCCATGTCCTCCCCTTCCTGAGGGGCAGGGGCCTGGGGTTAATCCTTCCTGGCCTTGGGTCCCCTTCTTTGTTCCATGGTGCCTGGGCAGAGGGGTAGGCAGCCTGATCCCAGCTCTAGTGGTGCTATAAACAGTCCCCAGTCGGGAGGGCAACATGGACAGCAACTGCTGGGGATGGGGGACCTAGCGGGAGCCTCACATCAGGCTCCCAGCTGCACAACACGAGCTCTGCTGTCATCATTTCCTTAACAGCAGCACAAATGTAGGAATTCCCACTCTGCCTGTCCTTTCCCCTTGAGTTGCTGACAAGAATAAAATAATACAAATGTGCACTGGCTTGAATCCACACCGTGCTACAGGAACACCAGGGACTATAATGAGCAGACTTCTTCTACAGAGGCATCCCCAGTCTACCCAGAGGTGCCTTGTTTGAAGTTATATGCTAATAAGGATTGCAGCTAGAAACAGGCCCAGGGCCCATGCATCCCAGTCCCGGTAATTTGAAATCAGAACCCCCACCCCCAACCATAAGAACACTGGGCAATATCATAGCCCCCCAAACCCTCATGAAGGGGCTTAAAGAGGAAAAACACAAGTTCAAGGTGGACCCTAGCATATCACCATTCTCATCCAGCCTGTTACCCACGGGTGAGATCAGTGCACAGCCTTGGTTTTTGTTTTGTTTTCATTTCTGCTTTAAATTCATCTTAAAGAAACAATCTATATTTCCCCTTTTCATGTTTTTCTTGGTATCAAAAAAAAAAATCACTGACTCTTGACATGTGCCAAGGTAGAAAAAGAGCATGGTGCTCTCTAAGCATCTGAGCCACACGTGTACTGATGTGTGGCTCATTCACACCCCAGAAAAAAAGATGATCATTTTCAAGCTTGCCTAAGATGCTCTTGAAAAAGGAAATTTCAGTGAGGACTTTAAAAATGAGGGTGCTGTCTAAGGGAAGCCCCTGGATTCAGGAAGTGCCCAGGGTTCCACGGAAGAAGGAAAGGAGGAAACAGAGGAGGGAGAAAGAGGCGTCAGGTTGTGTGTTTACGCCTCCATCAGATTTTAGCTAATGTCTTCATTTCTGTCTTGTTGGCCTCATCTGTACCTTAGATGAAAACGCTGTTGGAGGGACAGTTTGTGTCTTTGTCCAAAGTTCTAACCAAGGACCTAATCACATACAGTGCAAGCGAGCACTAAGGAACGGCTTCCTGTTGGGAACACCTAGGTGATGGATAATGGTCACCGTTCCTACCGGATGCCAGACTCCTGACCATGCAGTGTAAGTACTTATCACTGCCAAGAAGCACCTATGAAGCAGACATTCTTCCTCTTTTACAGCAAATGAATGAAATCAAGACTCAGAGAGTCAGACATTTTACTCAGTCACACAGCTAGTATGTGGCAAAGCCAGTGTCCAAATCAGGTTTGTGAGCATAATCATAGATACAACCCAACATTGCAGATTGCTCCACATACACTAGTTACAGTCACAAGAATCCTCTGAGCTACTTGGGGGTGTTACTGCCTATTCCGATGAAGAGAGAGTGAAAACAGACTGTTACAGGTGTTGGGCGCCGCTGGGAGGCTGGTATATCTTGGTATTTTCTTCTTTATCTGTATCATTTCCCCAGTGTTTTAAACCAGCTCTTTGGACCGCAAATCTAAGTCCCCAGGTTCCACCAGCAGGGAGCACCAGGAGCAGGTGACATGCAGGGGAAGAGTGTCACAATAGGGGTATAGGCAGCTGAGGGTTGGAGGGAAAGGCTGGGCAGGATTGGAGGGAGAGAACATTTTAACAACACGAATGATTTATACCCACAGACAGTCTTCCAGCATTGGTTCTCATATTAATGTAACAATTGGAGCAGATTTACACCTTATTTTACAGTAAATGGAATGATTAGGAACAAATAAATAAGCTACAATCAAATGTGCTTTTTAAAGAAAGCAGCCCTGCTCTGAATAGGTATTAGGTGGTCACTGCTACCTGGACTTTCAGTTGAGTGGAGATAACCCAAGGGCTGGTCTTCGGGCTTCCTGGGTCACTGGGAGTAGTTATAGGGTCACACACCCTACCCTATCAAGAGCGCTAGAGTTCTGGTCTACTTTAGGCTAGAAAAGCCCTGTGAGTCTTGACCTAGAAGCCTTCCTGTCTGCGTAGTCTTCTGTCACTTGTAAGGGAAAAATAAATTTTATTTTCAGGTGCTCTGGACTGAGACCCTTGAAAAAGTAGCTTGTGTGAAGACTCCTCCCCACCCCCCACTGCCCTGGCCTGAGGGTAGGATGGCTTTTCAGCAGGACATCTCCATCCCATGAGCCTCAGGCATTGGATGCAGACAGTCTGTATAGCTACCATCCTGGGTTGGACCTTAGCCTGTATCACTGGGAACCTGCCAGGTGGCAAGGATGCACATGCACTAATGGGCCTTACATTCACGAAGCCACTTGTTGGGGTCCAGCATTAGGTACTGTTTGGTTGCCTCCAATTCCTTCATCAGCCACTCGTACTTGGCTCGGACCTCGGCAATCCTCTGCTGCCGATGCTCCAGAATCTTCATCTTGGCATTGAAGCACATGACCTCCTGTGTACAGAGAAGAGACTGCGGGTAGAGAGAAATAAAAGCAAAGAGGGCTTTCTGTTCCCACCCAGTGCTGCAGCCTCCTCTAGAGAGAAACACTGTGAGTGGAGCTGATGACAAGAGCTGGGCTTCCTGGATGTGTGGCAGGGGACCTGGCGCTTTGAAGTCCAGACAACCCAACTCCCAGGGAGACGGCTGTAGGCTGTCCTAACCTAGAAAGCACATGGTGTTCCAAGCTGCATTTGTGTTGGCCTGCACTAAGGCAAGAAACTTCAAGACAAGAAGCCAGTGCATTGGGTCCCTGCTCATGCGCCCTTAAGATGTTCCAGGAGAAAAACATGGAGCTTTCATCAGAGTCTGTGGCTGGGTCCAGAGCCCACTTTCAACACCCACTGCCCATACCAGAAACCTGGGAAGGCCCTTGTGGAGTCTTCTTCCTTAGGGGAACCGGGACCCTTGGGGAGGGAGTGGCCTCACCTTGGTGGTGCCCCCTCGTCGCCGCTGCAGGCGCTCTACATCATCGATTTCATAGACTTTAATCTCAAAAGGTTCTCCGAGGCCCCTCTGGGTGCTCCTCAGGGGGCCGTCCACCCAGCGAACCCCCGTGCTGCTGGCAGGTTTTCTCACAGGTGAGGTGGTATCAAGGGATAACGCTGGAATGAGCCTCCGTCTCTGAGAACCTAAGATGAGAAGCCACAGGTGCTTTGGTGAACTTGAATGTAAGGGATCATGACAGATACCCCAAGGTCAGCTGCGGAGCTGTGTTTGAAACTCTCCATCGTCCCACTACCCCGTTGGCCATCACTTTCTTAATCCAGTACTTGCTTCATCCAAAGAAGATAAGCAAAATCCTTGTCAGCCTTCAGAGCCACTGCCCAGCAGGCACCACCACATACAGGCAAGAACCTGAGCTGGGTTGGCACATCCTGGGCAGGGGCAGGTGTTCCAATGAAATTAGAGGTCTTAGGGTTTGATGTTGTATTTGTAAGAGTTCCAGAAAATTTACTTACAACAGCAGTGCCCTAAGCACTGAGCATGTATCAGGCACCATCACAAGCCTTCTACACTGTTACAAAAACTGCAGGTTCCCCCTACTATCTATCATTTTTTTGGGGTCCTGGAGATGGAACCCCCCAGTTCTACATTCACCAGATGCATGCTCTGCCACCATGCCACAGTCCCAGCCTCAGCAAGAAAGACCCTTATCTTAGTCAGGTGCATGGTGGTCTGTGGTAGAGACAACACTCTAGTGTAGTTCATATCACCAACTTTTCACTCATGGCTTGAAAGTAGAAGTGGCACTTAAGGGCAGGTGTCTGTCACTCTTGTCCTTTTTCCTTTTTCCAGAACGAAACACAGACCCAGTGAGTGATCTATGAGATGATGTTCATAAACATCAGACAAGCAAGTCAGGGAACCTAGGCTCTCAACACTTGGAGGCTTAAAAAAAAATATTATTTTCATTCTATGTGTGTGGGTGTAATGCCTACGTAAGTGCACCTGTGTCCTGCAATGCCCTCGGAAGTCAGAAGAGGGTGTCGAATCCCCTGGAACCGCAGTTATTGATGGCTGTTAGCTGCCATGTGGGTGCTGGGAACTGAACCCAGGTCTTCTGCAAGAGCAGCCAGTGCTCTTAACTGCTGAGTCATCTCTCCAGCCCCAACACATGGAAACTTTTAGACAAGAATAAGTCTCTATATCCTTAAGGGGGTTTTCTGTCACAGACAAATCTAGTCCTGACTAATGTATGCAAAGCATCTCATTTAATTCCCACATGAGAGGAAACCAAAGTACAAAGATTGCAAGTAGTTTGCTCAAGGTATTAGTATTTCCTTTGCAATTACATGTATGTGTATAGATACATGTGTGGGTGGAGGTGCATGTGTGTTCCAGGTGTCATCCAGAGACAGGGCTGTGGGTAGAGGTGCATGTGTGTTCATGTGTGGAGACCAGAGGTGGTTCTCCAGGTTTCATCCAGAGACAGGGCCTCTCTCTGTCCCAGGACTACTTGCTGAGTAGGTGAGACTAGCTGACCAGCAAGGCCCAGGGATCTGCTTTTCAGCACTGAGATTACAAACCCCCAACTTGTATTTTAAACATGGGTTCTGGACACTGAACTCAGGTCCTCACACTCATATGGCAAGCAGTTTACCTTGCCATACATTATTTCTACAGTCTATATTTTAAAATAAAAAAATCAGATGATAAATAATTTCCCCAAAGGTGTTACTATGGCTTAGATCTTAATCATTTGCTGACCACCATGTATGAAAGGCTTTGTTGCTGGCTTATGGTCCTTCTGGGGGGTGAGAGAGCCTTCAGGATGTTAGTCCTAGTGATAGACAGTTAAGTCACTTGGCGAACATGCCCTTGAGAGGGACTCCAACCTCTCTTCTTCCTCTCTTTGCTTCTTTACTGCCATGGGTTGGGCAGCTTTGCTAAGTTTTCCTGTCATGGTGATCTGTGGCCCAGAGGGACTGGATCAAGCAGCCATGGACTAAAAGCTCTGAAACCATGAGCCTAAATAAGTATTTCCTCTCCAAAGTTGTTCATCTCAGCTGCTTTGCCACAATAACACAAAGCCAACTAACACAGATGTAGTGGGACTAAATGTCACAGAACTTGGCACATAATAGATGCTTACTGAGGATAAATATGCTTTTGATTGTTTTCAAAGCACTTATCTTTCTGGGGATGTGAACAACACACAGGAAGTGACTTCTGACTGGGTTAGAGATGACAAGTAATAGAAATAATGTATTGTTGATCTCCAAACAGATACAGAGAGAAACAGAACAGAACAGAACAGAACAGAGGACCCAGATACAAGATAGCTGACTCTCCATAGAGAATCTCCAGACAACAGACAACTGATTCCACATCTTCAATACATGGTGCTGGGAAAATGGCATGAAAATCATATCTTTGAAACTACTAGAGGAAAATATAGGAGAAACCCTTCAAGACATTGAAATAATGATTTTTCTGGCTAGAATCCTAAACACAGGAAACCAAAATCCACGGATGAGATTACACCAAACTTAAAAGCTAAAGAGTCAACAGAGTGAAGTGATGACTAGAGGGTGGGAGATAATCTTAGCTAGCTATTCATCTAACAGGGTGTTAATGTCCAGAATATTAAAGGAACTGAAAAATAAATAATCCAATTAAAATGGGCAAATGATCTTAACAGACATGTCTTAAAAGACAAACTATAAATGGCCAATGAATATATGGAAAAATGCTTAGTATCATTAGCCCACAGCAAAAATGCATATCAAAATCTTCAATGGAACCTCTGTACCTAAGGCTCATGTAACATGTGGAACAGGGAGGAGAGGAAATGTTAATGCATCTCTCAACTCTTACCAGTGAAGCTTCCTTGTACAACAGAGGGTGATGGACACAGAAAACCACAAATGGCCGAAGTATAGAGAATAAGAGACTGCAGAGTGTGTGTCCCTGAATAAGACTCCTGTATTAAACCTCACCCACCCACAGCTCAGGGACCATGGTAGAAGGAGGGAACAGAAGGATTGTAAGAGCCAGGGGTGGTGCATGACCATAAGGGAACAGTCTTACAGGCTTCTGGGAACGCATTCATATGAACTACAGCAATGGTGACAGCATGTACAAGACTCATGCAAATTCAAGTAGACAAAAACAGCACAGAACTGGGGAAACGGACAGCAAGCCCCAACCTTAGCTGAGGAATTATTAGCAGCTGATCACTGCTTGGGGAGGAAGAGTTGATTTTCTCTAAGGGAGTGATGCCAGATAAGATGAACAGGCTCCAGTGAATGAACTCACACTGAAGGACATCTGGGTACACAAACTTGACTTGATAGACCTTAACATATATGACAGAATGCATGAAATCCTGTGGGTGAGCAATGGGGTGGGGGAAGCAAATAGGGAAGGGGGGTCTATATATGATTGACACGTATTGTATGAAATGCACAAAAATTTAATAAAAATATACATTGAAAAAAAAGAATTTAACTCCCAATATAGTTATTTACATTTTTTTTTAAAAGAAAAAGCATCACTTAAGGAAACTACCACGGAATGCCATCTCATTCCAGTTAGAAGGACTACCAGGGGAGTAGACAGCAAGGTGGCTAAGGGTAAAGGTGCTTGCCATGCAGGCTTGGAGATGTGAGTTTGATTCCCAGAACCCACATAAAAGGTAGAAGAAGAGCAACGACTCCATCTAGTTTCCCTTTAGCTTCTACACGTGCACTGTGGCAAGCAAGTGTGCACATACACACATACACACTAATAGTAACACATAATAAATGCATTTAAAAGAAGATTATTAAAAGAAATACTTTTGATGAAGTTGTAGATTAAAAGGAACTCTCATATATTGTTGGTGGGAATGTAAATTAGTACAGTTATTGTGGAGAACATCACAGAATTCCTAAACAACTAAAAAGAGGTCTACCATCTGACTAGCCATTCACTACAAGGTATATATGAAAAGGAAATAAAATATGCATATGAAAGAGACACAGCAATGCCTACTGGAGCACTATTCATACACAGAATATATATGATGTTTACAATAATATATATACACACATATATATATACACACACACACACACAAATACAAGAGTACCATTCAGCCGTAAAGAATGAAACCATGTCATATGCAGCAAAATACATGGAACTAGGGGCTGGAGAGACAGCTCAGCAGTTAAGAGCACTGGCTGCACTCACAGAGGACCCGGGTTCGATTCCAAGCACCCACATGGCCATTAACAACCATCCATAATGCCAGTTACAGGGAATCCAACATCCTCTTCTGACCTCCAAGGGCACTGCACACACAACACAGATGCAATTACACACATGCAAGCAATACACTCATATACATTAAAATAAGAAATAAAATATTTTAAAAAATACACGAAACTAAGAACATTATGTTAAATGAAATAGTCACACAGAGAAAAAAGGACCACATTTATTCTTCTATGTGGAAATTAAAAATGTAGATCTGAAAGCAGAATAGTGACTGCTAGGGATTATGTGTATATATGGGGGGGTGAGTATGGGAAAGGGAGGTGAGACTTGATCAATGCATGCTACATGTGGGTGTGGGGATGCCACAATAAACCCCACTAACATGCCCAACTAATGCATGTGAATTTAACACAGATGAGAGCAAGAGAGAGCTTGCCATAGGGCAGCCCTGAGAACCCAGTGGCTGCATGGTCTCAAGTGTTCTGGGGAATCTGAAGAAGCCTGTGTGGGTCAGTGCGTAGTCGGGTGCCCTGTGCTGGTCCTTAATGCCCTGTCTGTGAGAATCTTTCTCCTCCCTGCCAACCACTTGACCATCCCTACCCTAACACCAGAGGGCTCTCCCTGCTGAGTGCTGAGCCAGGTGGCCTGCTCAGCCTGGTGGCCCTTCTAGAAAGAAATAACTTCCTTGTCTGCAGCTTTGAGAGATCCAAGGATTACAAAGGAAAGTGAAAATCAAAATCCCACGACCTCAGAGAGAAAGGGCCAGAATTCTTCAGTGTGGATTAAGGAGCTGCTTCCTCACTGACTACTGGGCCTGCCCTAGGGAGCTGGGAGTGTGGAAGCTACCCATGCACTTCCCTGACAGTACACAGAAAGAGTCACTTGGTACAGAGTGAATTTAATTCTACAAAACACCCTCTTCACACGA